TAATTGATGTGTGATGTTTAACTGACCATATAGGAAGAATGTGAAGAGTTTGGTGAACATGCTGATTTAATACAGTGTTACGGCTGCCGCCGCCCCACCTGTATTTGCCTGTGCTTTTAAGTAGGCTATCTGTTATGCTGAGCAGGCTGTGCAAGCCCACGCGGAGGATTGGCTGCACAAGGAGAGAAGGTCCCGCCTACTTCCTGGGTTTCCAGTGACCATGCCCTCGATTGGTGCGGCATGCTCTACGGGCCAATCAAATGGCAACAGTGACGACCACCACCTGCTTAAAAGCCTGCCAGGTCTGCCAGTCGAGGCAGCAATCTGACCTGAGTTGCTTGCCTTGGGAATGCATGGCATAGAGCTTATAGTAGTGTTTTGTAACCCGTGTTAGACTTTGTGTCTTGACTTTGTGTGTTTCACTGTGTGAAGGTAAGAGAGTGGGCCAGGTTTAAGCTTAGCTATCACTGACACCTTTCTTGCACATACCATAGTTGTTTTATGTTAGTTTTCACCAGGTTCAGGGGTGCTGTGTGTTTTGTGTTTTTCAAATGCTGTAGGTTAGTGAGCTTTTGGTTTATTCTTGTTTTTGTTAGTACCTCTGTAAGCAGTAATCCTCCTTTTGAGGATCTCCTTTTGTTATAATTGTTTGTTGATTTCCACAGCACCCATTGGCCCATCCTCTGTTTGTGCTCCACTTGCATTATTTCAAATAAATATCCTTCCAAACCAACAACATCTGGTTTATGTTTATGTCCCTATACCCCTAGACACCTCGGGACGTAACAACAGGAACAACAGAAGCTGAACCTACAGAAATGGATTTCAGAGATCCACCAGTCCATAAACAATAAAGATGAGATGTCTGGTTTTGTTTAATAGCTAATGAAATGGGAAATGTGACGTCAACCCTCCTCGTATCATCATCTGAGGAGACAGAAAGGACATACACATTCTTGTGATCCAAGGAATACAGACATTACAGTCGCTACCCAGAGAGGTTGATAGGAGAAGTACGATTTATTCTCTTTCCAAAACCTAAAATAAATCCAGAAAAATGTCGGCTGTGGATTGTTTGAAATGTAATGTTAGGTAGATAACGTTAGCTAGCTTCCTACTGAATGTAACATAATAAAGCTCTGAGATCGCTTTTTCCAACAAATTTTGGATGGGATCCTTGAAAATGGAGGTGGCTCTTCTGTGGACTTTGTGATAGTAAATGCTCTGCAGGGAGGGTACTGGAGTCCTGGTGATCTTTTCAGCTGTCTTCACCACTCTCTGCAGGCGTCTGCAGTCCATAACAGTAGTGCTGCCATATCACACGGTTATGCAGCTGGTCAGAATGCTCTCAACAGTGCACCTGTAGAAGTTGCAGAGGATCTTAGGTGAACTTCCTCAGTCTCTTTAGGAAATACAGCCACTGTTGAGCCTTCTTGACCAGCTGTGTGGTGTTCAGTGTCCAAATGAGGTCTTCGCTGATGTGAACGCCCAGATATTCAAGGTCCGCAAATTTCAGTATGATGTTGTCCTTGTGGGAGGCAGCACAGTCATGAGTGAACAGGGTGTAGAGGTTGGGGCTGAGGACGCATCCCTGTGGAGTACCAATGTTTGTGATAATGGTGGATGAGGTTCTGCTGCCGATCCTGACTAACTGGTGCCTGCCAGTCAGAAATTCCAGGACCCAGTCGCAGAGTGTGGGGTGCAGTCCAAGTGCAGACAGTTTATGGGTGAGTTTGTGAGGGATGGCTGTATTAAAAGCAGAGCTGTAGTCAACAAAGAGCATCCTGATGTAGGAGTCTTTGTTTTCCAGGTGGGAGAGAGAGTAATAGAGGGCAGCAGCAGTGGCGTCTGAGGTTGAATTGACCAGTGTGTGCCTCCTCTCTGTGCTGTCACTGGATGCCTCGAAGCGGGAGTAGAATATGTTGAGGTCATCCAGCAGGTTGTTTGTAGGGCTGATGGTGTTGATGGTAGCCTTGTAGTCTGTGATATGCTGCAGGCCTTGTCACATCTGCCCGGGGTCAGCAGAAGAATAGAAACAGTCCAGCGTCTCTGTGTACTGCTTCTTAACCGCTGTGTTTCTTGGCCACTGTGATGGCTTCTCGGTACCTCGCAGCTTTGTACTCCATCTCGTTGCCTGATGTAAATGCAAGAGAGCGAGCACGCAGCATGTGACACACCTTACTGTTTATCAAGGGCTTATGGTTAGGGAACTTTCTGTCTTGTAGTGTGGGCACGATGTCAACACGGGTGCTGATGTACCCAGTAACATACTCTGCATAGTCCTGTATGCTGACAGAAGAGTCCTCCAGAGTGTCTGCTGCCAGAAACACATTCCAGTCTGCAGGGTGATCTCTGGAGTCCAGAGTTTGACTTGTTTGGTGGCAGGGTTTGTTTGTTTCAGTCTTTTTCAGTAGACCGGGTACAAGAACAAAGAGATGTGGTCTGAATGTCCGAAGTGGGGGCGGGGTGCAGCTCTGTATTAGGGCTGAACAATTTTGGAAAATAATCTAATTGCGATTTGTTTAACCAATATTGCGATTGCGATTTAATATATGATTATTTTTTAAGCTCTATATCTTCCATATTATTCAAAACAGACAAGCAATAAATTATTTTATAGTATGACCAACACAATATTAGATATGTTAAACATAAATTGTACTTTCCTGTAGGCCGATAATATCGCAAATGCAATTAATCGTTCAGCCCTACTCTGTATGCACCACGTATGTTGCTGTAAACGTGATCCAGAGTATTCTTTTCATGGGTGGGAATGTCTACGTGTTGTATTTAGGGAATACAGTCCATAGGCTGCACAGGTTGAAGTCGCCTATAGTGATACTGTTTTATTTATTTATTTTTTTTAAACACACACACACACACACGCTTACTGTTTTATTTATTTATTTTATTTTTAATGTATTTTTATTTTTTAACACACACACACACACGCTTACTGTTTTATTTATTTCAAACCCTATTTAAATTTTTAATATATTTAAATTTTTCTAACAAACACACATACGCTGTGTATGAATAGTGAATAGTGATAAAGACAGCATCAGGATGAGTCGTTTCTAACATGCTGATAGCGTTGTGTAGACTGCTGAGCGCTGCCATAGAGTTAGCTCGCGTGAGGATGTAAACAGCAGCTGGAAATACAGCAGTAAATTCCCTTGGAAGATAGCAGGGCCGGTATTTCAGCAGTAAAAACTCCACAGTTGATAAATACACACACACCTCCCCCTTCGGTCTTACTGGTGCCTGCGGCTCTCCCCGGTACACGGAGTGAGTCTGTAGCTGGATGGCGTTTTCTGGGACGCTATCTGAGAATTGGAGCAAAGCACTCTCTAATTTCCTGTTGGACTGTAATCCTGGTCCTGAGCTTGTCCAGTTTATTTTCCAGAGATCACATGTTAGCTAGTAGGAGGCTGGGTAGTGGTGGTCGGCTAGCTTGGGCTTTTAGTCTAGCATGGAGCCGTTTACCATGCTTACATCACCGCCCCTGGTGCGCACTCCTAGTATCAGCTTGTTCAGTCGAACTTGGTGCTTCGGTGCTTTCACGGGAGTGGTGGTGTGTGGCCTCGTGAGCAAACAATGTGTTGTAGCTCCGGTGGTATAAAACCAGTAAATCCAAAATGACTGTGTGTGTTGGTAATGTCCAGTAGAGCCTGTCTGTTGTACATTAGCAGTGCATGGCAATTGTGCATTCCAGATAAAAACGCACACAAAAGAAAAAGAAGAACAAGCCGGCATTTGGGAGTGGAGCAAACACATCTGCCTCGGGGGATGCCATGTGTCAACATGAGTGTAGTGATTGTGCAAGAGCTGTCACTGGCTTCATTTCCAGACTTTGTTAATTTACACAGTCCAGATGTACAGCTTCTGAAGATGTGCTGAGTGAGTCGAGATGAGAAGGCAGATCTGTTGTGCACCACTGCGGTGTCTCATTGCGCTATGTGTGCCTGACTGCTCTGTCTGTTCACTGCAGCAATTTTACACACAAAAGCTAAACTGAAGATTAAATGGTGATTTATGCACAGAGGATGTTATTAAAAACTATTGACAGTTTGTTTTGCAATTCTTTAATGCTATTTCATGTTATCTTGGATTTTTAAGATGATGATAATTCCATCAGTTAGCCGAGTTAAAGTAAAGGACTCAGTAGCAAAATTCATGTCTAATATTGGGGAATGGCAAGACTGCATCCTGCCACCTGACATTTTCCTGGACTTATGCTGGCAGTACAACAGCTGCAGTGCTCCACAACTGATCATGAGTGCCAGTGGCATATAGTTCGGCCTTGAAATTAAATGTGTGAGAGGCATCATTCTATTCCTCTCACATAAAATTTTATGTTGATAATAAACATCAAACTTTTATGGTGTATCTGCGGACATACTTGTGTTTTTCAGAGACTACTTTATAGACATATACACAGAAACTGGAGTGGAAATATTTTAAAACATTTGGTTTCAGTACTTTGGAGTTTACTGACAGAGTCAGACAAAAGTCTGTGGCACAGCCCGTACATTCTCACATCAGGTAAATTTTTATTCACCACACGTGTGTGTGAAAACCAGCATACGTAACCTTTTTCTGCATGGGCAATGTTTATGCATGAGGTGATTGTTGGAACAGTGGAAAAACTAAACAAGATGGTTTTGGTGAGTTTGATTTATTAATTGTGTCTTACAAGAAGTCTGCAAGGCAAATTGTTCAGCAAAGGAGAGAAATGTGAATTCAAATGGTTATTTTTCTGTTTACTAAGGAAAATGAATTCTTAATTTCTTAAGTTTATTTTGTTTATTTGACTAAAAAAGCTCAGAGAGCTTGTGTAACGTAGCAAAGTTGCCACTGTTGAAGGTTTCACACATCTCCCAGCTGAAACTATCATTATCAACATCCTGTTCAATGTTTCATTCTTAAATCTCTTAAATTGTTACACATTGCACCTTGAACGTGTCCCTGCTAAGAGACTTAAAAGGAAAAAAGGTCACCTTTAAAGATGTGTTTGACAATGAGAGGCCTGTCTCCGTGGCTTGAAGACTTTCCCCCCTCCAGACTGAAGCCCAGGCCAGCAGAAGACTTGTCAAGCTCCACTGTTAAAGCATCGTCTGGACCTACATTTACAAGAGAAATATTTCAACACCCAGAATTACAGTGGCAAAATATTACTATAGCGAGAGAAATTGCTTCTGCTTACTATAGGAGCTAAGTTAACTTGCTTCAAGCTGACGATGGCTAAAACTGCAACAGCAAGGGTTGTTTATAAGGTTAATGCCTGTGTTTGAAACAGTGAAAAGGTCTACAGGAGCTGGACTTGTCTACAGGACAAGTAGATCAGAGCGTTTTTAAATTAGTTTCATAGGTGACAAGTATACAAATGCAACGTGACTGAACGTGTTAATGTTAAAAAGACAGGTAAGGTAAGGGTTAATGAGGTTAAACATAATAGTAGATGTTGCTGGGGGTATCCTGCTTTACCATCATCAAGACTACCACGTTTGTCTATATGGTCATAGATGTAAGTCTAAGCCTTACCTGCTTCCGCCTCCACAGACTTCTTCCTAGCAAAACACATGTTATGTCTGTCAGAGACACAGCCCATGTCTCTGCTAATGACTACTAAGGCTTGATTGGACAGCCTGGCTTGATGAAGGCAAGACACAGCCTCTCCATGGGTTTTACCCTCCAGACTTGTGCCGTTTATGGATAAAATACTGTCACCTCTCTGGATTGTGCCTTCGCGGCTAGCTGCACCTTTGCTGAAGATCCGATGAACCTGGACACAAAGGTACGCGTGAGAGCATTAACACCCGCTGCCCAGAAAGGTTGTCAAGAACTATTATTAGTTATTATTAACTAGTATTAAAACAACACCAACCAGTCTCCATATTATTTTTCACATTTACATTTATATATCATTAATTCATTAATCATTATATATGATATGATGTGTACTGCTTTCTCAGTTCTTGTCTTGATAGGTAAAAGAAAAAGAATGGGAAAGCGGAAGAAACAGGAAGCACTCCACAGATTCTGCAAATTTAGCATCAATTCCTCCTCAGCCACAGCCTGTGGCAAAAAATGGGGCAGATAATGCTTTTCACTCACTAAATTTAGCTTTATACATCAGGTATTTGCCAGGAAAAACATTTTTCAATCAATGATATTATCATCAAGAACAATCTTATTTTTATGTTTTTATCTGAAACTTGGTTAGACAACAGAACAGCTGTTCCTATCAAGTCTCTCCCTCCCAACTTCAGTTTTATGAGTGAATCTAGAGTATATATATATTTTTAAATATGAAGCACCTAAATACTGTGCAACATTTACTGAACTGCTGTCTATAATCTGTATTGACTTTGACTGTGTACTTATTGTTGGTGATTTTAACATCCATGTTGACAACCCCCAGGATAGAGGGACTAAAGAACTCTGTTGTGTTCTTGATAATTATGGACTGACCCAACATGAGACATGAGACAGACTCTGGATTTAATCCTCTCCAAGGGTCTGAACATTTCCAAGGATGTGGTGAATGCTGTAGCACTCTCTGATCATTCCTGTGTTTTCTTTGAGAGTGCCATATCTGTGCACACAATGTTAAAACAGAGGTCATCACAAAATGGCATATCACTGAAAACACCAGTGAAACTATTTATTAAAGTATTTATTATCTCATGGGTCAATGAGATGCAAGTAATTTCAATTCTAAAATTACAAATGTTATTGATCCCATCACTAAGGTGAAGGTGGTCTCTGGTAAGAAAAGATCTCCATGAAGAAATGCCACGCTGGTAAGAATGGAAAAAAAGAGTTTCGCACATTGGTAGCAGAAAACAAATCTCCAGATTTCACTTTTTTCACCCCCAACTGGTCGAGGCAGATGGCCGCCCACCCTGAGCCATGGTTCTGCTCGAGGTTTCTGCCTCTTAAAAGGAAGTTTTTCCTTGCCTCTGTCGCCTAGTGCTTGCTCTTGGTGGGAATTGTTGGGCTTCTTTAAATAACATCATAGAGTACGGTCTAAAAGCGCTGTGAGATAACTGTTGTTGTGATTTGGCGCTATATAAATGAAATTGAATTGAACTTCTCCTCTGACATCATTGCTAAAAAATGCATGTGCCTTGTTTGCTTGTGTTGACAGGCTAACCAACCCTCCTATGTGAGTAGCAGTAGCCTGTAATGAATCTTCACTGACAAAATTCAGAAAATTAGACAGGCAAACGTGGCATTGCCTCCATACCATTTACATGTGTTGTCCATGTGTCCACTTGAAATCAATTTAAATAGCATGACACAATTTGATCCTATCAATCACAAAAACCTGGAGGACATTTTACAACATCTGAAATCCTCCTGCTGCTTTATATTTTGCCAACAGGCCTTTTAAAAATGTTTCTGATTGCAGGGCCTCAGATCATAATCGCAAACTCTTCTCTCAGGTTTCTTCCCACAAGCCTGAAGACTGCAGTCATCAAGCCACTCTCAAAATAGAACACATCACTAATGAGCAATTACAGGCCCATATCAAACCACCCGTTTTCAAGTAAAATCAGGGAAAAAATCTTTTTTTCAACAGCTTAGTGCTTTCTTGGCACTAAATAAATGTTTTGATGTATTCCAGTCAGTATTTTGACAGTACTGAATCGGCTCTTGTCTTAAATGACATTCATTTAAAAACAGACAGTGGCAAAATTTCAGTCTTATTAGTCTTATATATTTAAAGTATTGATCAGTTTTATGAGTGTTATTAGGGCCCGAGCACGACCGTGTGAGGTCCCTATTGAATTTGCTAAGATTATATATATATATATTTTTTTTCCCGCGCATGGGCGTGGCAAAATGACTCGCTAGCGCCACCTAGAAAATTGTAAAAGATTATCCCCTCGTTCACGTTCAACCTACATGTACGAAATTTTCTGGGGACATGTATCATATCAAGACGCACAAAAAAGCCTCAAGAACCCATACCCTAAAGGCAACAGGAAGTCTGCCATTTTTGGATGATTTACACACTCCGTACTTTAACGAACTCCTCCTAGGGATTTAGTCGGATCGACGTCAAATTTCTGCTGTGCCTTCTAAAGGCATTGACGATGAAAAGTTGTGCTATTTGCGAGTTTTCGTCAATGGGCGTGTCCATGGCGTGGCGTCAAAGATCAAGTCTTCGCCATGACAAAGGAAGTTGTTGTAACTTCAGTGTATATGCTCACATCTGCACCAAACTGTACATGTAGGATGAGAGTCCTGCCCTGAACACATGTACATGCTGACATTCACCCACAGTCATAGCGCCACCTGTTGGCAACAGGAAGTGACTTTTAACGAAGCAGCCCCCGCCGCATGTTTCACCTACGTATACAAATTTTGACACAGGAAGTTGTTGTAACTTCAGTGTACATGCTCACATCTGAACCAAACTTTACGTGCTTGATAACTGTGCCACCCCGAAGACATCTACACGCCAATACCGATTTATATTCATAGCGGCAAGTGCTATGTAGCTCCACATAGGGAACACAGGAAGTGACATATAGCACCTTCATGCGGCTTCGGAACCACGTAGCCAGAATGTGCAACTCGGCCGGCTCACACCCGGACGCGCTACAAGTGCGAGGGCCCGCCCAACGCTGCTTGCAGCTTTAATATATTCATATTATTGGATCTCAGTGCGGACGCTCGCTAAGCGCTACCGCGCTGCACAGTGTGCGGGTGAAAATCATTAACGTGAGTTATGCATTGATTTTACTGATCATGTGCAATTTTAGTAGCAGCAGTCACTCAATCAATAGCTACCTGTCTGTGCTAAACAAGGAGAACCACACGTCTCTGTTGTGTGCACCGCACAGTTGTGTGCACCGCACAGACGGTCCGGAGCTGCACTTCCGCATTTCCAAGTTCCACCTTTTTCGTTCTGTCAACATTACGTTATCAATTAACCTCTAGATAATCGATTATTGACATTTGTTAATCGATTCATAATCGTCCAAGTCCAATTATTTTCCACACCCCTAGTAGTGTATAAAGACCTAACATAACGAACCGTTATGTTTTTATTACCTTAGAATGAGCCATTTTTATCTGTATTACCGCGGGCACCCTCTTCTATGGAGGTTGCCATATTTTGTCGTCATGTTTCTACCGTAGCCAAGCATACAGAGCACGTTTCGTCATCACAACATTCTTCACTTCTTCGTCACTACATTGAATATGTACAAAGAAGAAGAGGAAATAATAATAACAGACAGAAACAGACAGCTGACGGCAGAAATCATGGATGTGGATTTTCAAAGATGGAAGGCTATAATGTGGGACAGATGTTTTTAAAGCAATAAAACCGTAACATTAACTTAGATCATGGAAGCATCAGCCAGCTAAACTTTTACTGCCCTGGTAGAAAAATCATGTAAGGTTAGTTGGATTGGTTTATTCTCCAGAGCTGGCTTTGGCTTGTGGTTAAATATGTAGTTGGATTAGTTTCATGTTTTTACTCTCTCTCTCCAGCGCTCTGTTATGGCTTTGTTATGTTGACAGAAATGTGCCCTTACCTTTGTGAGTCAAACAGCTGAGGAATATTATTGGCAATAAAATGATAACAGCAGGGAAGCTCAGATCAGCAGCTCAACTTCACATTTTACTGCCCTGGTGGAAAACATGAATTTCTTTTTACTACTAATGGTGATATATAACAAGACCGTGTGCCTATCAAGTGACCAATAATGAATACTTTCCAAATTTGCATTATATTATTATTGGATATTACTTCGCCACTGTGCACACAAATGTGTAATTTTGACTTTCACATGCTAAATGCCCATTAAAAAACGTTGCACCGCTTTACTTCATGCTGAAATTATGGCTGTCAATACTACTTGTTAGGGCCCGAACACGAACCGTGTGAGGTCCCTATTGAAACTGTAAAGATTATTAGGGCCCGAGCACGACCGTGCGAGGTTCCTATTGAATTTGCTAAGATTATATATATATATATATATATATATTTTTTTTTTTTTTCTGAAAAGCAAGCTCCATTGTCGGGGCCTAAACATACTCGAAAACTCAAAATGACTTGCTAGTGCCACCTAGAAATTTGGAAAAGATTATCCCCTCGTTCACGTTCAACCTACATGTACGAAACTCCTCCTAGGGATTTAGCGTTGGGCGGGCCCTCGTACTTGTAGCGCGTCCGGGTGTGAGCCGGCCGCGTTGCACATTCTGGAGCTCTGCCGGTGTGGCTGTGAATTTGCTACGCGGTTCTGAAGCCGCATGAAGGTGTTATATGTCACTTCCTGTGTCCCCTATGTGGAGCTACATAGCACTTGCCACTATGAATATAAATCGGTATTCGTGTGTAGATATGTTCAGGGCAGGACAGTTATCAAGCACGTAACGTTTGGTGCAGATGTGAGCATGTACACTGAAGTTACAACAACTTCCTGTGTCACAGCGAAGAGTTGATCTTTGACGCCACGCCACGGACACGCCCATTGACGAAAACTCACAGATAGCACAACTTCTCATCTTCAATGCCTTTAGAAGGTACACCACAAATTTGAAATCAATCTGACTAAATCCCTAGGAGGAGTTCGTTAAAGTACGAAGTGTGTAAATCTTCCAAACATTTACGTAAAATTCAAAATAGCCGACTTCCTGTTGGGTTTAGGGCATCGCTCCAAGAGGCTTTCTTGTGTGTCTGGACAAGATATATGTACCACAGAAAATTTGTACACGTAGGTCAAACGTGCGGCGGGGGCTGCTTCGATAAAAGTCACTTCCTGTTGCCAGCAGGTGGTGCTATGACTGTGCGTGAATGTCGGCATGTACATGTGTTCAGGGTGGGACTCTCATCCTACATGTACAGTTTGGTGCAGATGTGAGCATATACACTGAAGTTACAACAACTTCCTTTGTCATGGCGAAGAGTTGATCTTTGACGCCACGGACACGCCCATTGACGCAAACTCACAGATAGCACAACTTTTCATCTTCAATGCCTATAGAAGGCACAGCAGAAATTTGAAGTCGGTCGGACTAAATCCCTAGGAGGAGTTCGTTAAAGTACGAAGTGTGTAAATCATCCAAAATTTGACGTATAATTCAACTTCCTGTTGAGTTTAGGGTATGGGTTCTTGAGGCTTTTTTGTGTGTCTTGATATGCTACATGTCCCCAGAAAATTCGGGCATGTAGGTTGAACGTGGCCGAGGGGCTAATTTTCAAGGTGGCGCTAGCGAGCCATTTCGCCCATGCGCAAAACCCACTAAATACAAAATTTTTCACCACTTCTGACATGTGTGCCAAGTTTGGTGAGTTTTCGAGTATGTTTAGGTCCCCAAAAACTGAGTTTACATAGGCCCTAATTAAATATCAGATATCAACATATCGTATAATTTATGGTTAAAAGACATTTTATTCTACACAAATAGAATTAAAAATCAACTATCTGAAATTTTAACAGTCTGTTTGCAATTTCTTCTGGGATCAGCAGGCACATGTCATTGTTTAGCTTACAATAAAAAGTGTTATTTGTGTAACAAGAAGTTATGTAGTTTTTATTTTACCACCATATTTGGTACGTGGGCTTAATAGAGATGTTTACTGTAAACACATCATTAATCATAATGGCCTTTCTGTTTGATTTTGATCAGACACGAAGACAAGCATTTCAGTGATTTATGTGAAAATCCTTTTTATTTAGAAAGCTGTTGGAGGCTTGCACAGCTTGTCAAAAGATGTCTGTGAAGATCTGCACAACAAAGAGGCTATTTGTTTAACAGTTGAGTTTAAATATCTGTATTGGGCCCAGCACTAAGCCTTGGGGCACCCCACAGTGAACACCTGTTCAGCTGCAGAACTTGTTAAGTGCAGTTTTAGTACCATAGGTTTTTTTAAAACTAGACTTGAGGTTTCAACACATTCTAAGTACCAACTCTTGACCAAGACCTTTGTGTGTTGGAGTTTTTCAAAGATATTATTATCAAGAATAAAAATTAGCAGTTGATCTGCTACCACCCTTTCTATAACTGGAAAAACAATTCAGACAGAACCTGTCGACAGAGAGCAGTTTAGAATTTGCAAAATAAAAGGTGACACTGTGTTAAACCTTTAATAATAATAATGCATTACATTTATATAGCGCTTTATCATTGAAACTCAAAGCGCTTCACAGTGTAGTGGGGGCCTCACCTCAACCACCACCAATGTGTAGCACCCACCTGGGTGATGCACGGCAGCCACTTAGCGCCAGAACGCTCACCACACATCAGCTTGAGGCAGAGAGGGAGGGAAACATCGAGCCAATTACTATGGGGGATGATTAGTTAATCTAGACAGAGAGATTGGATTAAATGACCTGAGGGGGACTGCACAGGGCTTCACAACAGTAATTGTAGAATCCACTGTGCAGCATTTTCTAAGAAGGACTTTCATACTATTTTTTTCTTTTTAATTAAAATTAATTAAAGCCTCTACAGTAAGTGTAATGTAAATGCTCCGTACTTGTCTAGTCTTTTCGACCACTTTTACACTACATTCACATTCATACACTGAGCCTAAGTGCTCAAACGGAAACTAGCATTCACACACTGGCGGAACAGCCGCCAGGGGCAAATCAGTATTCAAATTCAGTATCTTGCCCAAGGACACTTCGACACACAACCAGGGGGAGCCAGGGATTGAACCGCCGACCTTCCGATTAACGGCCAACCCACTCTATTTGAACATTTCTGATATATTGGTAGTATCAAGCAAGACACCACAGCAGCTTGCAATGCACATCATCAAACTCTGAATGATGTCAAGCTGTGCATTTAAACAGTTCTTGAGCCTTTACATACTGTACTTACAGTTATTGCCTTCTGCTCAAGGTCGACGCCACCAGCAATACTAAAGCCAAGTCCTGAGCCTTCTTCTTTACTCAGGAAAACAAGGTAAGTGTTATGGTTTACCTGCAGGTGGTTCAGACACAGAGTCAATGTGACATAAAAAAATCAGACAGAAAGTATGACAGGATGCATTAGACATTAAGTTATATATGAAATGGTTCTTGCAAATATATGTTATCAGCAGTATAGTGTTACCTCTGACAGGGCCTTGGCCTCCTGAAGCAGGGCAGACAGGTATGATTTAACTGTCAGGGAAGAAAGTGTTTGCAGCTTACACTGACTGACAGGAGAAGTAGCCAGCTCTTTAAAACTGTAGAAAAAAATGAGTCAAATTGAAGACATGTCATGACAGCTAGAAACAAAGTCCTGCTTATCACCCATTCAGTATTATACACCACAGCAACTTTAGTCATGCAAAGGAGGCTTGCCATAAGTCATTCATTTATTATCCATATACCTGTGGAGATTTATTGGCTTGAGGGCGCTCTCTCTCTCACAGACATAGTAGGTAAATGCTACCAAACGCGCCTGTAATGTTGATAGTTCACGAGAGACGTGCCCGAGGTGAGTTGTTAAGTAGCTGTATTATGTCTGTATATAGTAACACATGCACTGTAACTTATGGAGGGGTTCATAAGACAAGCTATGAGTGGGTTGGTGTACTTTTTAAGGGCAAAAGTGTTTAAGTAACGACAAAATGCATCCTCTAAGCTACCTGGCAAGCATCTGTGCTAAAGTGATTTGCTGTGCTCTTGTAGTATGCTGTGTGTGAGCTGCCAACGGTATGACTGACCAGTACATATTCTGTTCCTGTCCAGATAATACAGCTGCATTAAGAGATAAACATTCATCAGTCTACACACAATGTAGAGTCGAGGTGTTAATTCCACAGATGCAAATGTGTATTGTTAGGAGAAAACAAAACAGCCCACATTTCCTTATGACCGGTAGACCAGTACTGACCTGTAGATCACTACTGACCTGTTGACCACAGCTGAACTGTAGAGCACTGCTGACCTGTAGAAATCGTCTCGGGTTACGTATGTAACCCTGTTTCCCCAGAAGGGGAACGAGACACTGCGTCGGTTACGTCACTATGGGAACGCCTCTAGGCGCAGCAGGTCTGAACGTGAATGAAATCACTCTAATCCTATTGGCTTGTTGCTAGAACGGTAAGGTGTGACGGAATAACCGGAGGAGTATAAAGCACACCTGTACACACTCATCATTAGCTTAAACTATGAAGCAGGCGCTTCAGGCGGGGAGAGAGGTGCGGCGGGCCGACGCAGTGTCTCGTTCCCCTTCTCGGGGAACCAGGGTTACATACGTAACCCGAGACGTTCCCCTTCGAGGGAACTCGAACTGCGTTGGTTACAACACTATGGGAACGAGATACCCACTAAACCGTGCCGAAAACCCCGCCTGCCCCAGTGTGCAATAAAGTGGCACGACTAAGAGGAGAGCGCACAAGTGCCAGGTGCCGAAGGAAGGTCAAGACTGTAAAACCGAATGAATGTGTGCGGAATGGTGGCAGGTGCGTCCCGAACGCGTAAACGGGAACATCACCCGTTGCCACAGCGGAGGGGACCTCGATCGGCCTCCGGGGGGGGGGGGGGGGTAAGTATACTTAATCTCTTATACTCACTTTAATAAACTCACAGACAATTGAAAAAACACAAGGAATTTTACTAACTCCTGTGCTTTGAGACTGTTGGGCCATGCCTGGTCTCGATCAATAGCCACCTCAAATCTGGTTTTGTCCCAATCAATTTTAAATATGCTGTTGCGTAACCTCTTTTGAAAAAGACTAATCTTCACCCATCCCTCTACATAAAACTATAAGCATATTTCCAAGCTGCCGTTTATCTCAAAGATTTTAGAGAAAGTTGTTGTCAAACAGCTCACTGCCGCCTTGACTGCACACAACATTGTAGATAATCTGATTTCCATTACAAGCATTCCACTGAAACAGCTCTTCTTAAGGTCTCGGTGACATAATGATGTCCTCTGATGTGGGTGAATGCTCTGTTGTGGTTCTGGATCTTAGTGCTACTTTTGATACTTGCGATCACAGCAACCTGACTGAAAGGCTTAGGCGGTGGGTGGAAGTGCCCTGGAGTGGTTGTCATTCTATCTCTCAAACAGGACTTTTTCTATGTCAATAGGTCATACATGTCTGAAACTGCTCTTTCATATGTTGTACCTCAGGGTTCTGTGTTGGTGTGATTTTCTTTTCTTTGTCTATGCTCCATTTTAAAGGTGTCACTATTAGCTGATCATATCCAGATGTATGTCTCCTTTAAGTCATTAGATAAGAGGTCCTTATTGTTGCTTCTGACAGCATAGCTTCCATGTTATCTCAGCGTACTAGGTCACTATTATCAGCTGTACAGTTAAATCCCAGGAGTCCTGGTATTATGTTAGACCAATCTATGTACTTTGATCGTCATATCAAATCTTTGACCCATACATGTTTCTTTCATTTAAGAAACATTTCCAGAATGCTGCTGCAAGGCTGTTGACCAGGTCTAGCAGGACAAGTCCCATTACACCCATCCTGTCATCGTTACATTGGCTCCCCGTCAGGTTCAGGACTCAGTTTAAGGTGCTCGTTTTCACATATAGAGCCCTGCACAGTAAGGCATCTCCAACTTGTTTCACCCTTATATCACCACTAGGCAACTTTGGTCTTCAAACCAGGGCTTACTAGCTGATCACATGCTCTTACAACAAAAAGTGATCGTGCATTTGAAGTGGAGGCTCTGACACTGTGGAATGCTCTTCCCTTAGACTCACGTTCTGCAGTCTCTGTGGATGTCATCGAAGCCTCTTTTATTTAAGCTGGCCTTTGTCCCACCCACCTTGACAAATTAATATATCAGAATATGCTGGCTTGCCTGATCGGATTGGAACTACTAGACCTACTGTGGCTTGGATTGTACCTGTATTTGCAAGTCACTATATTATGATTTTTCTTTCTCAGAAAATTGCAATATTCTCATGATATGACTTTGCCCAAAGAGTTTTTTTAATAATCTATTTTAGCTTCATTGCAGTGCACAGTGACATCTTGGGGCTCAAAGTAAGACATTTCTAATTCATACACAGAGTGGATTCAATGCACTCCACATATGACCAAAATTAATTACAATGGGCAAGTTTTAATTAAAATCCGCACCTGATGGACCAGCCAGGCAGTTGTCCATGGGTCTGTAGGGTTCCTTGAGGAGTCTCTTCTGTGGATCTAAGGTCATCTCGGCTCAGCCTGTTCACATCCACTTTTGTTAGGGTTGAAAAAGATGGAAAGCTCTCAGTCACTGTGGCTTTCGAATGTATAGTGGGATGTATGCCATGCTCAGTTTTGTCTCTGACAGTACCATGTCCTCTATTAAAGTCCTCTGTACATAGTTTTTCCAATTCAGGCATACTAAGAGCCCTGAGCTGCCGCAACCTGCTGTTGGGGAGTCTGTCATGTTTTCTCTGTTGTTCTTGAGGAGTCTGTGTTGTAATCCCAACTGAAGCTCTTTGAATATCAGCCTCAGGATTGTCCTCAGTCACGGGAGCTGTGTTACACCTTGACTGTGGAAGCTCAAGGTTTATCAGTGCAATGCTAGATGGAGATTTACCAAGAAAAAGTGAGCAGGGTGTGGTAGGGATTAAATTATCCACATATGAACTTAAATTTCTTTGCTGTGCCTGGCAGTTCTTAGAATTAACCAAGCCCATATAACCAGCAATCCTTTGGTTAAGCGAGGCTCTATATGCCAGAGCATATGAGTGAATGTCACTGCTTTTAGCCACTGGCTTGTCAAAATTAGTCAGGTTTTCAAAGGACTTTATCTTATGTCTGACAGAGAAGGGATTGTAGTCTGCAGTCAAGGCAGTGTCTGTCAAGAAGCTTTGTCTTTCCATTGTCTTTATGTACAGTCTGGATGTGCTGGACTTTAGGGTCTCAGTTCTTTCCACAATAGTACTGGGTTTTGAACCATTACTTGTGGTTGAATGAGCTTCTTTGGTAGAACACAGTGAATTAAATACTGTGTTACTGATCATGCCATCTGTGGAGTTTGCAGGAGAAAGCATGGGTGCTAGTCTTCCATCTGTGCCTCGTTGAATGGGTTTGGAGACTTTTGAATTAAGTGTTTCATTGTGTGCTGACAGTCGAACCTCTATAAATGTTCTCTGCGTGGGAGGAAGGTGAGACCAGCCCTGTGATTTGGCGGTTGCTGTAGAACCTAAATCGATGTCCTTCTCCTTGGCCAGCTGTACAGTTTGTAATGTGCCACCTGAAGGACTTTGTTCAGCTGTAACTTGTTTTCTTTCACTTACTTTGGGCACAGTAAGGCCGCTGTTCACATCAGGCTGGTTGGTCTTCAAAAGGCTTGACATGGTTGCCGTTGGTGGTAATTTTGTTGACTGGTTCATGGAAGCATTGGTGTTTGAAGGAACTGGACTTTCACTCTTGGGCTGGAGAGGCTGCTCTGGTGATTTGTTCTTACACTTAATGCTTAGGCCCTTCAGTTTGGGAGCACTAGTGTTTGGTTGGATTTGAGTTTCAACCTGAAGTTTTAAGTTACTACTCCACACAGGACAGTCTGAATTACCAAGAAGTTTTAGCTTAGAGGTCTTCTTAAGCAAGGATCTAGCATGAGGTTTTAAATTACCTCTACAATCCAGGACCTTTTCTTTGTTTAAAATTGTTGCTGACACTCTTGTATGCAATCTGCTGGTGCTTGAAATTGAGGTCTCTGATTCCATTGTTAGTGAACTGGGTGTTCGTGTATTCAAATGCTTCAGCCAATCTGAGGTCAGTGAGGCATCTGCATGTAAATTTGCATTAGAACCCTGAGTGACACTGCAGGTTTCTGGTGGGGAGGGGCTGCTGTAAATGCTTAGGCTTCCAGAACTAGATGCCACACATGCTTTAACTTTGTCAAAGGTTTTAATGTGGCCCTCTATAGAAGACACAGGTATTGTACTGTTGGAAGACTGACTCTGTAGAAAAGACTCTGTAGGGAAGACCCCTGATAACTGAGAAAGCTGTGAGCATTGGGTTGTTGAAACAGAGTTTTCTTTGCTTGTCAGTGACACATCAAAAAAGACCTGCAACACATCAACAGTCTGATCCAGGTTTGTATTTTGACTGCTAGCAGGCTGAAAAGGTGAAGACCCATTCGATGAGTGGCTTATATGAAAGTGTCCACCAGCAGCAGATTGTTGGGCATCACAGGAACAAAACTCCACTTCTTCCTCATCTGAAGACGACTCATGAAGACTAAAACTGCTGCCAGTTATCTTATTGACCATTTCACTGCTGTCAGTGCTGGAGTCACTGTTTGAATCACTATCTCCTATGGGGTACATATATATAGAACCAGCATCAGGAATTTCCAGACTTGACCCACTGAAGACAGCAGAGCTCTTTTCCTGTGTTGTCTCCACAGGGAGGATGGCACCTTTTTCATTTCCTGCATCCAAGATGGAACAGTCCAGGGGACTGGACGGTATTGGAACCTGAATGCCAACTTTGTCAGACAAGGTTACACCTTTTTGGCTTGAGCAGCAGGATACAGACTCATTGGATAGTTTTTCGTAGGAGGATGTTGTGTGTGTATCTTTATCAGTACAGAGGCTCACTTCTGATAAAATGTCATCTATATTGGTGATGGGTATTTGAAAGTCCTGCTCTGTTTGGGTTGTGTGCTTGGAATTTCCTATATTTGCACTTATTACTTGTTCTTCATTTGATGTGTCCTGAGCAGATCTGGCTGGGTTCAGTCTGATGGCTCCATTACTGCTCCCTGATGACATCAAACTGGACAGCTGATCTACAGCTGGGACCAGAAATAAAAAGCAAGCAGTTTAGTCAGGGTTAAAAGAGGGACACAAGTGTTCAACTGACATATGAATATTTTTTTCAAAATACACTCTACAAAAAAACACTATTACACACTCTACAAAAAAAGAAGCTATTTTATCTTGCAACATGGTGAGGTTACATACTGGTAGTGTCATAGAACAAAATAATACAAGAATACTGTCATGAGTGATGGTTTTTCAGTTATGCAGTAACAGTCTAATCTTCACAAAAAGGTCCTTGGAGACCATATCACTGAGTCACTCCCACTAAACAATCATTATACTCAGAATAGTATTACCGCCCCTCCCCTTCCAGTTTCATTCTCCTGCAGGAGGCTGGAGGCAGGGAAGCACATTGTGCTGGGCCAACCTGCAGCTCTACCCCCAGAGGTTGTTTAACCGGGACTGATCATTCTGTCGCTCACTCCTCCTAGGCATAACAGTAGTTATCCAAGTTGCTATATTTTTTCTGTTACCATATCAGTCTGTTCAGTAAGTACAACCCTTCACCAGCAATCCTAAAGTTTGTAATTGGTGTGAATATGCTGAAAAAGTTTGATTAAAAATTGCAACATAATGAAATGGGATTAAAAAATCTTTTGGTAACCAAGAAACAGCGACCCACAGCAAAGTCTATGCTACGCAAAATTAGGACATTAGCTCACTACACTACTATAAAATTATTAAACTAGGGCATACAAAGCATACAGGGAGTTAACTACAGGGTATATCTAGTTTTGGTAAAAACTAAAGTTAAAATATAAAGTATTAGATAGTCACCATGGATACAAAAACAGATGCTTGCAGGTTGCTTAGGGGAAGTGAGTGAAGGAGGGTTGATCCTACATCTTAGGTCAGCATAAAAGGGAAAGACATGGTGCTCTATTTAAGGGCATACTGAGCAGCATTCTGCCACTAATGGCTTGTAAACACAACTTAAAAGAAGCATAATTATATACCACATTACATCCAGGTGCAAGGCTTTGGTAAACAGCATCGATGAAACAAATCTGCACACTTCATAAAACCACAAATGTATGTTTAGTCCGACTACAATCACATTTAATAATAATGGTCATAATATTAATCTCTATTTAGCACTTTCTAAAATCCATGATACAAAGTGCTTTCACAAGTGCAGAAAATAAAACACGTAAGTCATAAAACCATCAGATTTTAAGATTAAACAGATAAAAACCAAGAAAAAAAATTAAGGAATCAAACTACAGTTAAAAGAAAGAAAAATAAAGTCAAATAAAAAGTCACTTTTAAGAAGGGACTTAAAGGAGTTTACTGACTTAGCCGACCTGATTTCTCAGCCAGGTAGTTACAGGGCCTGGAGGGGCCTGACTGCAAACACTCTGTCCCCTTTAGTTTTAAGTCGGGACTCTGGAACAGACAACCAATGTTACTCAGTAACGCGTTACTGTTACTGTTACTCAGTAATGCATTACTGTAATATTATTACTTTTCTCAGTAACTATTAGTGTAACTAATTACTTTTCTAAAACAGAAATATTATTACAGGCGGCTGTGGCTCAGGAGGTAGGTTGCCCTTTAATCGGAAGGTTGGAGGTTCAATCCTCCAGACTGTGTGTCGAAGTGTCCTTGGGCAAGATGGGGAATTGCCCCTGGTGGCTGTTTCGTAACGTAGCGTAAGTAACGCTGCGTTACTGAACGCACCATCCTTGAAGTGAATTTGCGACTGTGCTGCAGGTCAGTGGCACCGAACTTTGTTGTTCATGTCTGCTGAAACTAAAAGAAGAAAGGAGAACGAGGGAGAGAGGCGTTCTTTCCACAGCTGTAAGTAGCTACTGCCATTATTGTGTCACAGTCTAAACAAAAAGAACATTGTCGTGTATTATAAACTGTGCAACCAGCAAAAAGCTTTCAACCACGAACGTAAAGTTTTGTAAAAATACTAAATACTGCTCTTAGAAATAGGCTACATGTGCAGAAAAACAGCTGTTCAAAAGTTGGGATTTACTTGCTTTATTTCTTTTTATTTTAGCCGGTGGCATAAAGAAACATTAGTTATTATGTTTTTGATATTAGTTAATAGAGTCGGGAGAGGCAGCTTTGTTTGGGGGTGAAGGGGGTGGTAGTGAAAGTCATGTTTCCCACAAATAAATCAATGAATGGGATAAATATATCAAGGCTGACCGCCACATATTGATTGTCTACTAGACGTATTTAAAATCATACTTGATTGAGGAGCTGTAATGAGGAGAACACAGTCCCCTCCAAAAGTAATAGAACAGTGAGGCAAATTCCTTTGTTTTTGTTAACTGAAGACATTTCGGTTTAAGATCAAAAGATGAGTATGACACAAGAGTTCAGAATTTCAGCTTTTATCTCCTGGTATTCACATCCAGATGTGTTAAACAACTCAGGACATACCCTTTGTTTGAACCCACCCATTTTTCAAGTAAGTAAAACTACTGGAACATGTGACTGACAGATGTTTCTTGTTGCCTAGGTGTTGCCTTTTAGGTTGATTGTCCAAACATTAAATAGCTCTGCATGTAGTTGAAGTTTTCATCCTTGGTTCAAACCTATAAAGACTGCATTTCCTGTTAAAGAGGATAAACCAACATGAAGACCAGAGGGCTTTCTATGGGAGAAAAGCAAGCCATTGTCAAGCTGAGAAAAGAAGGAAAATCGACCAGAGCCACTGGACAAACATTGGACATAGCATGCACAACAATTTGGAATGTCCTGAAAAAGAAAGAAACTACTGGTTTACTGAGCAACAGACGTCCAACAGGTCGGCCAAGGAAAACAACAGTAGTTGATGACAGAAATATGGTGAGAACTGTGAAGAAAACACCCAAAACATCAGTAAATGACATCACCAACGACCTCCACAGTGCAGGGGTGAAGGTATCACAATCCACTGTTCGAAGAAAACTCAGAGAGCAGAAATATAGAGGCCACACCACAAGATGCAAACCACTCATCAGCAGGAAGAATCGGAAGGCCAGATTGAAATATGCAAAGAAGTACAGAGAGTTCTGGAACATAATCTTATGGACGGATGAGACCAAGATTAATCTCTACCAAAGTGATGGAAAGGCCAAAGTGTGGAGAAAGAAAGGGACTGCTTATGATCCGAAGCATACAAGCTCATCTGTGAACCATGATGGAGGTGATGTCATGGCTTGGGCATGCATGGCTGCTTCTGGAACAGGCTCATTAATATATATTGATGATGTAACTGATGATGGTAGCAGCAGATTGAATTCAGAAGTAGAGAAGAAACAAGAACTGAAAGAAGCTGCACTAAAAGCCTGGAATAGCATCACAAATGAAGAATGCAACAGTTTGGTGATGTCGATGGGTTGCAGGCTTGAGGCAGTTGTTGCAAGCAAGGGTTATGGCCACCCGATATTAAATGTTATTTACTTTAAGATTATTTGTTCCATACTTTTGCTTACCTAAGAAAGCTGTGGTCTAATACAAAAGGCGGTATGTCCTAAGTTGTTTAACACATCTAGATGTGAATACCAGGAAATAAAAGCTGAAATTCTTCTCATCCTCATCTTTTGATACTTTTGAAGGGGACTGTATATTTGTGCAGCACCTCCTCTCTCTCACTCGCTCCATATCTCTGTCTCTTTCCTGAACACCGCTGCACAAACCTGTCCAAAGTTAGGATGTATCTGGGTTATCCAGATTAGTGACCCCCTACTCCGGTGCTTTTGTGTTGGTAGCGTGTTGTCTCTCGCTAAATATCAGTTAAATTTGTTAGATTACAGCAGCAAACTCTCCGCTAAACACTTATTCTTACAGTAATTTTGCCTAAGCACTCACACTTCTTTCCATCTTTTGGTGACTGCTGTTCAATCTTATAGTTGTTCAAAAGTTTTGGTAGGTAACGCTACAGTACTTTAGCTTAGCCGTTAGCGACTTTAGCTCAGCAGCTAGCGATGGCTTCTGGCTGGGTGACTGTCCGAAGGAGGAATAGTCGTAAGCATTCAAAGCCCACGGGTCACCACCAACCTGTTCACGTTTCTAACAGATTTTCCCCACTTAGCGACACACCCGCTGAGAAACCAACTCTGATCATTGGCAGCTCCATTTTGAGAAACGTGAAGTTAGCGAAGCCAGCGGCCATAGTTAAGTGCATCCCTGGGGCCAGAGCAGGACCATTGAGTCTTTTTTGAAACTGCTGGCTAAGAATAAACGTAAATACAGTAAGATTGTTATTCACGTCGGCGGTAATGACTCCCGGTTACGCCAATCGGAGGTCACTACGATTAATGTTGAGTCGGTGTGTACATATGCAAAAACAATGTCGGACACCGTAGTTTTCTCTGGACCCCTGCCAAATCTGACCAGTGATGACATGTCGTCATTCCGCCGCTGGTTGTCGAGGTGGTGTCCAGCAAACGATGTGGGCTTTGTAGATCATTGGCAGACTTTCTGGGGAAGACCTGGTCTGATCCAGAGACGGCATCCATCCCACTTGGGAAGGAGCAGCTCTCATTTCAAGAAATCTGGCCAAGTTTATTAGTGGACCAAATCCATGACAACCCAGAGTTGAGACCAGGAGGCAGAGTCGCAGTCTAACACACTTCTCTGCCCTTCTAATTCAGCAGTTACCCACCCAAAACCCTACGCAGAGTTGCAGTCTAACACACTTCTCTGCTCCTCCATTTCAGGAGTTACTTAGTGAAAATCCTATAGTGACGGTGTCTGCCCCCCGACCATTGAAATTATTTAAAAAGGTAAACAGAAGAAGAGCTGTGCATAAAAACCTCATAAAAATTAAAACCACAAGAGCAATAGTGCAAACGAATAGGAGAGTTAAATGTGGACTCTTAAACATCAGATCTCTCTCTTCTAAAGGTGTACTAGTAAATGAACTAATATCAGATTATGATATTGATTTATTTTGTATTTTGAAACCTGGCTGGGTTATGTTAGCCTAAATGAATCCACCCCACCCAGTCATATTAATATTCACAGGCCGAGGAGGTGGGTTGCAGCTATCTTCGACTCTAGCCTACTAATCAGCTCTAAACCTAAACTAAACTATAACTCATTTGAAAGCCTTGTTCTTAGTCTTTCACAACCAAGTTGGAAATCACTGCAACCAATTGTCTTCGTTATAGTGTACCGAGCACCTGGTCCGTACTCTGAATTCTAATCTGAATTTGCAGAGTTTTTGTCAACTTTAGTCCTTAAAACAGACAAAGTTATTATTGTAGGGGATATTAATATTCATGTGGACGTTGAGAATGACAGCTTTAGTACTGCGTTTATCTCTCTGTTAGATTCCATTGGCTTCTCTCAGTGTTCATGAACCGACTCACTGTTTTAACCACACCCTCGACCTTTTTTGGTGTATGGTATTGAAATTGAACATTTAGTGGTGTTCCCACAGAATCCCTCTTTGTCCGACCACTGTTTGATAACTTTTG